AAGATATATATATTATTATATTTTGATTCAGTGACTGACGCTGACGAAATTTCAGTTTGTAAATTCTTTAAAATTGGCCATGTTTAAAACAGAGTTTCGTCGCAAGGAAAAAGATGACACCCATTTTAATTTTCATGTAATATTTTTTATGCTGACTCATTTACCTGGTCGTCGATGGGAACCCAGTCGTATGTCGAGGAGAGACTGTATATGGATGTAATAATAGCATATATAGGCGCCACCTCCACTCCATCTTTTAGGTGGTTTATTATTAAAAGTGTCGGAGGTGTTGTGTTGGTACCAAATATCGATGCTAAACTTTCAGTCCATAAACAGGGTATACCCATACTGAAGATTTCCCAGCATGGAAGCGACTGAATGAAGTCTGGAATTCTTCAGACTGACCATAATGGATGCTCAAAATTAACGTATGCCAACTCATTTTCTTCTTGTAATGAGACTGTCTCAAAAACTCATGATGAAGGATCAAAAATCTCATAATAGTCCTCGTCCTGTTGCCAACCTGTTCCGGCTCTGAGGATGTTAAGTCAATTCTGTACTAACTGCACACATGCACAATGGCTTCTTACAGAACAATGTTTAAAATCACACCTATATCATAGCTGCAAATTTGCAGCACTTTAATGAAGACAAAGAAGGAATGAACAAATGAGATGATGATAAAACCTTGGAGGACCTTAAACCAATAATTGTCTCAAAGAAATGTTGATTCTCAATTTCCATGTTACAACACATTTAAGATGTTGTATTAATGAGAGTGAATTTGAAGTGAAACCCCATAGGTTTTGTAAATATGACAGATAATATTGCTTCACTGGTGCTATGAGACAGGACTGTGTTTGATCAAAGGACAAATACAGGGGGAGGGGTTTCTATTTCAAATTCACTGTCAATAAGATATCTTGTATTTATGAAATTGGTGCAGAATTTGGACATTTCAATATGGAGGATGGATGGGGTTGAAATGGTCTCATGATTCCAATCAATTTTGAATGCACCACGAACCTCCTTGTATATTTCAAGCTAACCTCATCTGACGGTAAGCTGATTTCAAAACAAAATTCCCTAAATTAATAGATTTAGACCTGAAAGGCCATCTGAAAGTGTACCTGGGTCAAACCATGAACTTTGGTGTATTCTGATGAAGAAAAGCTACTTTTTGTATGTCTGTAAGGAAATAGAATCAAGATTGATCCTTCTATTTTTTCAGAAATATAAAACGAATATTAGAAGTCAAATAATGCTGCATTGCTATGAAATCTCTGTTGTATTTTGTCCATATATTATTTTTAAAATGATCATGGATTAATAAACACAGCCAAGCAATATACACATTTCCTTGCTTTACATGCATTTTTTTATTCAAAATATATATATATACAGCCGTGTGCTATAAAATATATTCTTAAAGTCGTATGTAAAGTATACACGTACAACAAGCAGAGGGTCTGCACCTTTAAATAAACCAATGGCGCATATATCTTTCTTTTTTAATTAGTTCTAGCTCCACACTTTCCCCATCTTTAATACGAGTTGCAGGTGTTCACGCATCACCACCAATGCTTTTGCCGCTGAACACAATGTTCAATAGTATCATCTTAAAACAGCATGATAAAATTTTATTCTGCCTTTACATGTCACTTATGAACTTCATCGATGTTACCTGGCTAGGTGGATATTAATTAAGCGATGACCTTTTGATCAGATACGCTACATGTTCAGAATCAGTAAGTTCATGCTGCTTCTTTTAAACCTGTTTGTTGAAAAATTTTGCATATGTTGCCTCTATTGATATTATTCTGTTTTTTACTTAATTTGAATTGTTAGTTGTTGCGAGGTGCCATGATCTGAATTTCAAAAGTTTAATTATGTATGCAAAATCTAACAGAGAGTAACTATCATCGTTATTCAAAACATATGTAATGTAATGCATAATTTTAAAAAGGAATAATTTTTGATTATTATTAAAATTCTTTTGTCATATTTATTTTATCGCTATTGCTACTTAATATCATATTTGAGTTTTTATAACTTAACACCCTTGATGATTTTATTAGCAACTTTGTGTGGTAACGCAATAGAATTAACATTCTATATTAGAACTTACATTAGCATGTTTAAACTTCTTATAAAAAAGTTGAAAAACTTTATATAAGGATTACACAAAGTCAAATGAGTTTTCAGTCATTGGATGTGTGTGTAATCTGTATCATTGATTGAGTTAAGACACTGTTTTTATCATTTCAACTTCAGTTCCTAAATTTATTTCACAAAGTGGTCATTCCTTCTCTGGTCTTTTTTCTTATAACTTTAACTCCCTCATTTTTATATAAAGTGAAGATGTTGTTTGTCTTGATACAAATTTTTTGGAGATATAATGATTATTTTGTACATGTGTGAGTGTTTAGTTATAATGTTTTAGTAGCATATTGTTATGTGAGACAAACACAACACTGTGCCCCTAACTTCACAGTGTTTAACTCGTACCATTATATAATAACCCATTTTATGTGTGAGCTACTTACAGTGTTTTCCTTATTCGTTGTGGGCTTGCTCCTAGAACTAATAACCGAGATAAGGCACTGAGGATGGGATCGATGAGGAAATTTTTTTGTAATTGCTCTCATTTGGTCATAACGACTTGCTTGCTCATTTGCTCTTGTACTGTGACACTAAAAGTGAATTACAATATTTATTCATATGTGAGCATGATATTGGCTTTTGCTCATTTAGGATTTGATTTTTAGACCATGACACTGCATATTTTTCAAATGAATTATTGAGGTATTACTTGTGCAACCCAGGATGTGAGTCAGTGTTCCACACTTTTGACCAACTTGCAGTATTAAGGGTTAGCTTCAAGGTGGTGGTGTTTGAACTGCTTTGTCATTTGTGCATGCCAATTCAACCACATAACTTTGTGTCTTCACCAGCTCATAGGTAATTGCATTTTAGGTGAGCTTATTTTACATCACCTACCACCTATATCTAGCTGGGAAGTAGCCACTGACAGTAAATTCCATTTAGTGGATGAGGAAGCAGAAGCATTCATTCCTCTGTATTTCTGGAGACGAGAGCTATCTCTTCCAGTGAGGATTCTCCCTAGAGGAAGGTGGAGCTGTTGTTTCTATCCCAAGTCAGGCACTTAAAGCTGATGTGGAGTCATCCTGAGGTCTAAGTAATGATGCAAAGCCTGAGTCTGATTTCAGGCCAGTGTCCAAGTACAGGTGCAGTACTAGTTCTTAATGGGGTGTCCTAAGGGTAATGAATTTTGTCAGTCTCTCCAGTGGAGTTCACAAAGCGTAGGATGAGGCTGTAGAAAATGTAATGGAAGTTTCTGAACATTGTTAACCAATATTATCTCGTGTAAATCATTAACCATTCCCATAGGATTGAATTCCATAACTTATGGAAGTTTCTTTCTGAACACACAAGGAAACAGGTTCCAGAGTGTTGTGGTTGGGCAACCGTATTGTGGAGCCTGGTGTCCCCAGTCCCTCCCTCCTAGAGAAAATTCACTTGGCATTTTAGAATAGAATACAGTGGGGTATGCTATAACGAATCTAATTGGTTCTAGAACCTTGTTCGTTATAGCATTCGTTTGTTATAGGATTAATCCGTTCCAGGCCCCCAAATACAACCACTTAACACTGAAAAATATAATATAAAACTGTAAAAATTGTAAAAAAGTGCATAAATATGCATCTAAACCCCTGAAATAAAGAATATCATTAATATTTGTAATAATAAAACAATAAATTAGAAAAAAAAAATTAAATTATGTTCGTTGTAGGAGTTTCGTTCGTTATAGCATTCTCAATATTATAGGTAAAACCATTCGTTATAGGAATATTCGTAGTAGGATCCGTTCGTTATAGCATACCCCACTGTATAAGGAACAGTGTGACCTCGAATCTGACTATCCTTAATTTTATTTCTTGTCCAGAGAGTCAACCTTTTGTGATGCCTTATTTACAGAAATGTGTTTGATAGATTGCCAGGGCCCTTCCCTATCTGGAAAGTTCCAGCACTTGAGTTAGTTGCAAGCTTGTGCTTGCACATTAGTCTGGGGAGGACTGTTTTAGCAGTTGCTCTCTTCTTAATAATTTGGCCTTCTTAGTCTTATTGGTGGATCTCTCTTCCTCTACAGTTGTTCTTCTGTTGTTAAGTATAATGCCAAAGGGTAGTTTATTGACCCAATCCAAGATCAGTTTTTAAATCATCATTTCATATCAGCCAATTCTTCAACTAAGTCACAGAACCAGTATTGGGAATTTTTCCTTGCCTGTCAAGTGTTGTCAGTTAATCCCAATGCCTGCTGGCTAATGGTATGAGTGGCATGATGAAGATTTCTATTACCAGGTTGACTCCAATCTGATCTTGGTAGTTTTCCAGCTTGTGATTGTACATTCACAATATAAATAGTATTGTATTGGGTCTCTTAGAAATTTTACCATTTACAGTATCAGTATAATTCTGGAAAGTGTTTTATATATATATGCCTTAGGTTGGTTGCATGTTTATGTTATACTGGAAGAGTCAGCATAAACAGTATCAAAATCATCCACTTTTGTACAATCTGCTTGAGCAGCTTTGACATAATCTAATTTTTAAAGGTTTCCAAAATACATATACTGTATTGATGTTTGTTGTACTGTACTGTACTGTACTGTACTCTACTCTACTCTACTGTACTGTACTCTACTGTACTATACTGTACTGTATCATTGTTTTA